TCTGAGTTTTTTAAATGCAAGAAGCCTTCAGGAAAATGTCTTTTTTAAGAGTGAGGTTGTCAGTAAAAATGTGATACTATTCAAAATACAAATTACAGGTTCAAACACTAAAAATAAAAGGAGAGAGGAGWCAACTATATGTAACTCTTTTGTTACATGAAATTAAATGAGGAATTATTTGGTAAAGTATACTCAGGATAGTGCTCAGATCACATTTTAAACACCTTATTGGAGCCTGCAAATATTTGGTGTTGCAATGAGGAACAGACTTGGGGAAACAACATTTTTTTGTCTTTTTCTGTTTTAATTTTTCTGCAAATTATATGTAGTTTAATTATTACTTTAAATTGCTTATTTAAGTTTATTGAAAGAAGTTTTTGCTTTCTAATGGCATATGGTAGTTAAGTACCTTCTAATTATTTTGAAAAGGTTTGCAAACACACATTGGTCTTCAGATTTTTTTTTGTCAGATTAATGCAAATAGTTTCTGTACAAAATTGGAACAGTTTGAAATTCTTGAGAAAAATCAAATTTTTGTCTTCTCATGTTCATGCCAGAAAATAGATGATAAATATTTTGTTTCTTTACTCCAGTAGTCTAACAAATCCGGCAAAATGAATCAACATAACTGAATGAGTCTTCTCCTTTCAAATATTAGAGGACTTTCACAAATTCTCAAGTCTTCTCTGCAGTATTCAGTAAATATCTCAGTTAAGATTTAATTCTAGATTATGTGTGTTTTAGCTGATAAAATACAYAGAACAGCTTATCCCTATCACTGAGTAGTGGCAGTGCTGTTACTGGTCAGGAACATGGTGTTCAGAAAAATGTAAAATTTAGGAGTCTTCAGAAGTTAAGGTCAGTGAAGCAAATTAATAGGAGTGTAAAATGGAAGATTATAAGTAAATTGAATGCAAATAGCCCTGCCTTTTTTGAACCTGGAAATATTTGCAAAAATGGGCGGATTCCAGTCTCTTCAAATTCGTTTTAGAACTGACCCAAGGCCTGGATTCTGCTGCCATATTTCTTTAAAGAACTTCTTAGCTGGTGAACAAAGGTATTGCCATTCATGGCACACTATTCAGTGCCATGCACTGCCAGAAGGAATTTCAAAACCAGGTCCTAAGAATTGCCATGATCAGTTAATGGAACTTTTTCAGGCCAGGAGCTTTTCACTTGAGGTAGAAGATGGCTGATTTGGGACCATCCTCAGGAGCCCGGGAGATTGACCTTTTCSCCGTGTGTGGGGCCTGCCTTGCCAGCAGAGAGTCCTCAGGTGCTTTGTCAGGATGGAAAGCACACTAGTGATTAAACATTAAAYCCTGCTTACCCTTTGTGGGTTCTGGCCAATAAATAGCTGATTTGCAATATAAAGTTATGTACATSTAACTTGCATCCTTTTTAAACCCTGCTGAAGATGTCTGAACAAGCTGACCCAAAAGAGGAGCAGGGAAATATCTTCCTTTTACTTAAAAATATGCTCCTAACACCAAAAKATATAGTGTTTATGCTAAAACAAGATCATATCCATAAATAAAAGAAAATAGTTTTAAAAGTAATTMATATTCTCTCTTTTGCACCTTTTCTCTGTTTGCTTTATAATTTGTAGCAGATGGAAGCCAAATGTTTTCAAAGATTCAAAACTAATTTTATAATAAGATGGTTCAGCTTTTCAAAATAACTTCTCCTTAGAATGCCAGTTATCCTTTTGATTTTAATCTATAAAAATATTACTGTTGGAATATGRTAATATTTTTACTCCAAGTGAATCTACATTCTTGAGCCTTCTTTGATAATCCATGTCTGAAGATTCTTCCTTTTCATACAACTGTCTCATTGTTTTACTTGTCTTCAGAAAAATCTAGAAACCTTTGCACCATAGCAATATTCTCACTGTCTGCTAACAAGCTGTTACAGTTCTAYTTGTGGTAGATTTTTCTTGATTTAGAGCAAAATCTGTTTTTTAAAGTTTGTTTTATTGCATGGGCATATCTAGTACACTGTGAGTAATTCTAACACAAACCAGTAAGGAATTCAGTCTTTTTTCTTAGTTCAGATTTAAAGAATTTCTAAGTCAATATTTAAAGAAATGGAAGTGAAGATATGGAAAGAAAATAAACAGAACTGTGTAAAGTAGAACAGAGAAGGACATTGACAAAATATACTTTCTCTTAAGTGACAATTCCAAAAATGCATTTAGGAATAAAAATAAATGAATGATGATGGTGGGACAGAAGCCTGTGGCAGAAAGGTAGCTGTAGTTTGTGTCCAAAACACCTAAATAAACAAGGCTGAGAATAAAAGCTCTTATTCTTAAATGCACAGGAAAAAAATTGTTAAATACATCCTTAGGTTGCTAAACCAAGGATTCAAAGCATCTAATATAAAAAGTACAAAACACAGATGAATTGTTTTTAATTAAAAAATGCAACTCAACATTTCAAGTGACAAGATTATCTTCAAATCTCTAAGTATGACCTATCCTGATCTTTCCTCAAGTAAATGTCKAGAAAAACTTCTAAAGAAACCCCAGAAGAATAAGTATATTCACATAGTGGATTTCTGGGATAACTTATATAGCAAGTAGACTACCACTGCAGAGAAAGCATCTTTTTTGGAAAGCATTTAATACATCACTATTGCTGGGAGTAGTCCTGGTATATCAGTGCCATTGTAACAGAGACAGGTCCTACCTCATAAAGATAAGTGAGGAGAAAGTCAGACAAGATGAAAAAATTTCTCTATAGGTAGAAGACTTGTTTGAGAATTTTTTATGCATATAATGTCTGAAAGAAAAGGTCACAAACTAGCCTGTTAGGATGATTTTWGAAATTTCTCCAGGAATTTTTCTAAAAATCAAATTTTCAGTTTTTGAATGGTTGCTATAATGGAGGAATAGTCTATAGCAAGTAGTTTTGAAGCAAAGAAATGCTTTATTTTACTTTAGCAGCAGAGAAAATGGCTAATGTTCATGTAATTCCATGTCAAAAGTAAAAAAAGTGTGCAGAGCTAGGAAGCAGAAGATGCTACTATTAAKTTGCGAAGAAAGGCACATCATGTGTACTTTGCACTTCACATTTTATGATGCCAGAAGTTAAATGCATAATATAAAATTTGCAGGAGCTGAACTATATGATAATTATGATAATTGGGGACATTTCTCTCCAGGGAGTGAGCTCTAATAGTTAAGGAGTGACTTAATGTTAAAATGAAAATCTCACCATGCATTGATTAATTAAATAACAGGTATCCAGAAGGTTTATTGCAGAGTAGGAAGGGACATGATTTGTTCTTTCTATGGGCCACAGTATGCATTTATTAAAAACCATATCTCTGTTTACTGGAAATTAAGACTGCAACAGGACATACCCATTCATCWGAAAATTACAACACCTGGAAATGAACACCTAGGTGGGAAGATGTACAACCCTTTCCATTTTTATATTGCCTATAAGAGCAGCAAACCTGTGCTCTGTGGTACTTCCATTTCCAATTCTGATAGCCATGAAAAGYAATACTTGCCTCATTTTCATCAACAAATGTTACTCAGGCTAACAGCAGCCCACATGGACAAGCTGTTCCTCTCCAGAGGTGTATCAGAGAGTGCCCTGGAGTTCTGATGGTGAATGAAGTGGTCCAGTTCATCAGTACTCTCCCAGTGTCTCCAAACCTTTGGAGAATGCCTCACATCTGRTCCTGAATTTGTGAAGAGGGCAAGTATGTCTTCAGCTGACAAGTGCTTAAACTATGTTTGGTGGTAAGCAGAGCATCCTGGGGCCCTGTTCTGGCACTATGGTCAGCTGTCACAGAGTACTTGCAACTGCATTAGTAAAGTCTTAGCCTTCAGTGAAGGGCATCCACAACCACATCACCTGCTGGAAGTGGTGCCAGGATTGGCACCCTTGAAAACAAAGTGTTTGAGCTATGGTTGGCAAAGTCCCATGTGGCACAGACCAAAGCTGTGCCTGTAACTGTTCCAACTATTCTTAACTATTCTAACCGTAATTTTACAGTCAGAATGAGCTGATGGACTTCCCCTACCCCAGAACTTTGTCTGACACTGTTTAACTTAGCAGGATATAACCCCAGAGATCGGATCAGTAAGTGAGTCTCCAGAAACTTGTAGACATAAGCTAAGGAGTCTGATTTCTACGCCCTAGCTTCTGGACATTTGGGAGAAAACCTCTACCGATTTCAGGATTCATGATGACACTGTGCTCCCTGTTCACAGATATTACCTCTGCTTGGAGATGTCCACATGTGGCAGGCTGGGTGGCCTGGGCTTGGAAGGGGTTGACAGTCGCCCTTGAAGGACTGAGGTGGTTAAATAAGGTGACATTTGCCCTGAGCTGTGGGGAGCTGTGTGACAACGCACACTTCCAGAACTCACCCTATTCAGRTGAGATCCAAGCTAATTTCTCAGTATGCAGCTACTAGACACTTTTGCTTTGCACTCAATCCTTTTACCAGTATATGTAAGAAGAATACTATAGATTTAGAATTAGATAAATTAAGGTGTTTCTCCTCATGGACCTTTGTTTTTGATCTGTGCTGAGTTGCCTTAGGTAGCCGGTCAGAGTGTTTTCCTCATAACCTTTGGGTGAGAATATTGCTCTAGCTTTTAGATTCTGGATGTACCACATGATGTTTTGAGTTAAAAAGGGTTTTTTTCAGGGCCTTGTTTTCCGGTCTAGTAGAAAAACTATCTTCTGAAATCTGTAAGGATAGACTCAAACGAAAATAGCCTAGAKAAAACAGCTTGTTCAGGATAACTTCTCTGAAATTTACCACCTGCAAGGCTTCTCCTTTTCAAGAAGAGGCTTTTAGCACAAGTCCCTCTGCCTGTTTTGGTTGGTGCAGTGTGGCACGAGGCAAGCAGTTTAAATGCCAGGGCAGTTGATCCAATGGGCACAGACTGACAGTGAGAAAGAAAACCCCAGTGATTTTATTCTGAAATCATGTCCTTAACTGACTCATTAAAGTTATTTTTGCTATATTAGGTTAGAAGAATATGATGATGACATGGTGATGAAGCCTGTTTCTCCTAAGCAGCCTATCCACGCTATTTGTTTGCTGTCTTTGTAAGTACGTTCTATTAATGGCATCTATTTCTACTATGCAGATGATGCAACGTTAGAAGCTGCTTTCCACACAGTTTATTCTGAAATTGTGTGCCATAACATTGCTTACATTGGTATGAGTACTACTTGAGCTTACAGTGTCAGAGATAGCTATCTCAACAGGATAGTAAAACAGCTGATTACTTCCTGAAGCACCTCTTTAAATCAGGAATCCTCACAATAAAATGTCTTTTAAGAATCTTTTTCATATTAGAGCATTCAACAGTTAATCACCTTCAAAAACTGAGGGTACCATGGTAAAAGGAGGAAAATGTCCTTCCTCTTTCCACATGTACTTTATCCTTGTTAGAGATTTAAATGCAGCTTTGGTTTGTTATTTTTTAATGCCTTCATTTAATAATTAATTTWAAAAATATTTTTACAAAGTAGAGTAGAAAAGAAGGATGCTGAAAGCCTCCTCTCAGTCTAGACTGGCTTTTTTTTGTGTACAAAGGCAAAATGTTTGATGTCATTCCTGAWTAATGTTCAGCAATGTTTTATCCATCAGAGTTATCCAAATACAAGCAAAGGGCAACCCCATATTTCAGTGACATGACTAGTTCCTTTGTTGAATGGCCAGTTCCACTTAGCTGCAGATGGTCATGTGATATAAAAGTATAAGGCATCACAAAAAGAGGTGCTGTAAGCTCTGGAATCTATTTTTGSAGTCTATTCCCATATTTCCTACTACACACAATCTTGTCTTCACTAGAAAAGTTCCAAAAGTTTACACCAATTAATTTTATTTGATCTGTGTAAACTATAAAAATAATCCCTGAGGCTGACACTTTGAATCCAGTTCAAACTTCTTTAGATTAACTTCTCTTAATTAGCAACCTAAGTGAAAACAAAGCAAGGGTAAAATCACTTCCTATGTACCACTGATGSATGTGTCTTCAGTGAAGAGTTAACATGAATTATCCATGCCTGAATTACTCTGTTTGTATAAGCTCTGTTTGCATGAAAGCAACCCCACTGTTAAATAACRCTGGAGTTTGTTTTGTCCACGCTATGCTTGTATGTAATACTAACAGTTGTGCATGGGCATCCTATGGATTTCTTTACTGGAGCAAGCTGCAAAACAAAACAAAACAAAACATCCCCAGCTGATTGTTTATAAGAAAAGGCTGACCTCTTTAGACGAGCAGAAKGCACTGAAGGACTGTATACCCTTGAAGTTTTCCCATGGAGCAAGCATATGCCCCTGCTACAGGGAGATCAATTGTTAGACTGCATCCATTAGTGGGCCAGCCAGTTAGTGCCRCAGGCTTCACCATGCTGAACTTGGGATGCTGGTTAAACTTGGGCAACATTTAGGCTAAAGTTAGCTTTGTAGAGATGTTCTCGCCTTTGGGACTTGCACTCCTGCACAGTAAGGTGCACATCTAGGGTAGCAAGATTTCCTTATRTTGCTCATATCTGCTCAGTGACAATAATATGTCAGATTTGGGATGAGCTTGCCTGGGTGCACCGTGTCTGTGCCTGCTTTTGAGGTTGCGTGCCTCCTCAGAGTGAAAGTCTGCATATTTTCCTGAACCTTTTTCTGTGATATACCCCATTCTACCTATCCTCTGACATATGTATAAAACTTAGTCCTTGCACTAAAGATGTATCTTCTCTACTCCTAAATTAGAAACTGAGAAAGAAGGTAACAGTTTTCACAGCAGGTTACTGAGAATGGAAGTTCACTGTTGAGGGAAAGTGAAAATACTAGCCAGCTATTCCAAAYTGAAAAATCTATGTTTGGGAATCTAAATACGTATTTGCTCACTTAAATGAATGGCCTGACTTTTTGAGGTGCTAAGTTGATCCAAACTCAGAATGTTTTCCATCCTCAAAAATCTGGCCAATTGCTTTCATGTCTCTCTGTGGAATGTAGTCACCCAAGTTTGACAGTTTTGGCTCTAAGGTTTAACTTGACTGAAAACAAACTGGCTTCAAAACTGTAGGGGAGGTTAGCAGCAGCTGCTCAAACCTATGTATCCAAGAAAGAAAATCTTAAAATGTCAAATGGATTTCTTCTCATGAAGTCAACTAGCAATAAACAGGAACAGAGACATACCTGGAAGGGTAAAACCAGACCTCAGTCTTCTATTTCTTGCTCAGATGATGTTTCTGAGCAACCCTGCCTGGGGTCAGAGGCTCAGGTGGACTGTTGTACAGGAACCTGAGGCTTGTCATTTTCATAACAACATCTATGATTCAGATACTGCTCTCTTCAGTTCTCAGTGGAGGAGCTCAGAGCTGGCACAATGATAACCTCGGTATAATTCCTCTTTGAAATGAATGAATAATCTTGCAAGAAACAAGAGCTGCCCAGGCTGTGGCAGACTGGTAGAGAACTGCTGTAAGACATTTGCGATGCTTTGTGCATCTGAGCATAAAATGCAGTTCAAGGTAGACAGAAAAAGGTAGTGATGAAACTTGCCAATTGAATTTGAAACTCAAACTGAAACTCAAAAGCTGAGACCAGAATTAACAAACCTTTTGGTTTTAAGTATTTGAAATTCTAGCATAAAATTATCTTTCAGTAATGGAAAAAAAAATAGAAATTAATATTGAAATTATTCTGCATTCAAGAAGTGCAAATCTGCCTTCAAGTTCATTTAGCGAAGTGACATCTAAATTACTATGAAGAATAGTGTGTGCTATATATTATTTGTAATTTCATAAAATGTTGGGATGAGATTGTCCTGGGATCAGCATGTGATTAAACTGATTATATACCTTATATACATGGTATGCTTCTTATTCACAATCAAAATGCAACCTACTTTTATTAATATAATAATTTAGATGTCATAACTGGAATCTCAGTTAAATATTTTTTAATTTCTATTCACAGCCTTTTATTCTCTATTAACACACTCATTCCTCTCACCTAAAAAAAGATTCTACTTTTCCCATCACCACGATGGCTGACATCTGCTAGGATGACCCCCTGCCCCTTGCATCAAAGCACTGCTATGTAGAAATGGACGACAGACAGATGCTCTTCTCCTCATTCTGAAGAACTTTAAAGATATGGATGGGTGCAGAAGAGGGCACCAAATACTAACTGTCAAAGCAGACACTGTTTTTCTCTCCTTAACACCCATGCTGAGTATTTTTCTTTTCCTCACTCCCAAACGCCATATATGCATATGTGTCTTAATACTCAAAATAAATCTTACTATTTTATTTTGAGTCCAGGAACGCTTCCATCCAATTTCCTTCAGGCCTGTTGATCTTCCTTTTCTGCTGTGAAAACAAGGGTGTGAGTAGCTGAAAACTAAAGAATATGCTACTGTAACCCACGCTGGCACTCTATGTCTCTCCTGACTGCCATCTTTAAGCTCAGGCAGCGGAGGTTAAAGTCACTAAGCTCAAAAACCCACGTTTCAGTTCCTGCTATACTTGCTGTGCCACCCTGGGTGTTATACAAGGAGAACTCTTAATGTAATATGAAGACTGCATAGTTAAAATTACCTCAGGAAATTCCAAAATTAAGATTTCTAGTGTGATATGTCAGTGGGACTGTATTACACAGATAATGTCTTCCGCATTTTTATTGCTTTTACAGTTAAGGCTTATTATCTCCCATGCATACATTCTGACCTAGTTCTTCAAAATCCATTGAAGTCACAATAGTCAAGGTTTCATCACTGCAGTCTGGGGGTAATTGAAGAATTATATGCTGATGATAAGGTTCAGAGAGAGGCCAGAAGGCCGAAATGGTGACTTACCTAGTTCTAGTATTTCTGTTGTCCCTGGACCATGGAATCAAACTCCTTCATCATGGCTCTCTTCTCCTGTAGATGTAGTTGCACATTTTCCCTACATTGTGGCTGAATATCTGTAGCCTGGTCCATGCATGACTCCCATGGAAACCAGGAATTCCRAATTAGAGTCCTTTTGGAGTTGGGCAAGAATAGTTTTTTTCAGCATTAGTAAAGCACTGAACTATGTGGGAACTAAATGCCCAGCTTGTGATGCATGAGAACAAAGCTCTTGAACATGCACAGAAGAATGCTTTGTTTTGGTGTCTAGGAAACTTTGTGGCAGAGAGCAAAGGCAGTGCTAGATATTGGGCATATGAAAGGTAATTATGCTGTGCTTGTTCAGAGATCCGAGAAACAGGAAGTTAGTGTGAAAGAATTGAAAAAAAAATGAATCAGTGAATTTAAAAAAAATTATAAGAATATATATTACTTTGCTGACTAGAATATTCTGGACATACAATATGCTGAATTATTTCTTTTTATCTGTTTATCTTTCAGACTATCTGCTAATAACATATGAGCCCAAAGAGACATGGAAGAATTTATCCACACATTTCCATACACAGGATAGAAATCTATACAATACCCATCAGAGATGCATTACTATGCACACTCATAACTCAAGCTTTGCAAGAGCTTGGGAAAACAACATGCCTGCTACTAACTCAAAGTCAAGGTCTCTAAAAGTCTGGAAAAGGTACGAAACAGAGACTCCTCTGTACGCTGAAGGTGATGCTCAGACCACCGATGCTAAAAACTTCAATAAGAAGTARCTCTCTGTGTGTGTTAATTCCAGGTACTCCTCTATCAGGTTGCTGAGGGATTTCTTTGGGTCTATCCCAGGTCTGAGAAGGGAAGGGAACTTTGGATACAAGCATCCTAGCCAAATCATGGAAATCTGAGTGCCACAAAAATGTATTTTGATTTCTGCTGGAAAAAATAATTCTTCCAGACTGCAGATTGACTTAATGTTTTTGCTTCTCTCTTTGGGTTTCCATCTTGGTTCCTGATATAAATTGCTTGTTTCCAGTTTCTTGGATCTTCACTGCCTAGTATTGTTTTGAATCTTACATCCTTGTCCCATGAAACCACAGTTATTACACACTTATTACACTTCCAAATAAGTACTTTCACCCCTTCACTCATTTTTCTCTCGGGAAGAACTCCCAGCAGATGTCTGTAAACTTACCTCATTCCCTGCTTTAAAAGCATCTCAAGGCCTGCAACACATATAGCAACAGTTAGATTGCTGGCCRCAATGCTGAACAATGTCAGCTCTCTCTTTCTTTGCATTTCCCTCTCAGGGTCCATGTTCAAACTGCTGTCTCTAATTTCATTTTCAGACTGTCTCCTCTTTCTGTCAATAGGACCTTTTGTGAGTTGCCAGTGCAGCACTTTTTCTTGCAGTAAAATGTGGGTTGTAGGTGAGAGTATCAGTCAGYACACTGGGGCTGATTGTCTCAGACAATCACTCTGTTCCCCTGTGCAGATAGATTGTCAGTTCATGTACTGGATCTCCAGGATGCTGGTGGAGGAGGAAAGGGGATAGTTCAGGTGGTCCTTCTGCCCCAAACTGCTGCATAAAGGATTCTCTGGAGCAGATGGAAGTGAAGGCTGAGTCAGGTCAGGTCCCACTTTCTCACTGTAATAATGGCCCTTTGGTCTGCCAGAAAAGTTAAAGCTGCCTTCCACAGCTTTTATTTGGAAGCCGCTGCCTGGCGATTTGCCCCATCTGCTTCATCCAGGCAGTGAATCAAGCCTGTTGTACTTAAACCATTGACCCCTACTCTGAGAAATACCAGAGAAGAATAGACCTTAACTAAATCTTTCAGTAGCACCCTCTCCCCTTATTTTTTCCCTCCCTCCCATTGTTTTGAAGCCACGTCACTTTTGTTTGCTGGAGGAAGATTAAACAAAGCAAGCCACCAGCGGCGCTGGGGTTTTTTGCCGCACGTGTTGTCTGTATCACTCGGGCAGCCTTCCAGCAGGTATGCCCCTACAGCTGCAGAGCCATTCACTGCTGAGCCATAAAACTGCTGGCAGGTCTCACCATCTGTGAGGAAGACTGTGTGAGAACTTCCCTCTGTTGCTGCATGGCTTTCAAGACAAATGTCAGCGCTGACCCCATTAAGATAGCCAACATTTGAGAAACAGCATAATGTATTGCAAGGCTATTCTCTTTCTCTGTCCTGGTAGGGTCAGTCATGAAGTTTTGTAGCTGTTTTTGTGTGAAAAAAATACTTGAATGGTTATGATATTTTAACACCATGGAATGCTGAGCAATTGTGAAACTCTTGCCACTGAGYGTCTGACAATATAGCAAAGAAGGGAAACTGTGGAATTTTAAGGTATGCTGCTGCCATTACAGGAAAGAAAATGGGARAGGGAAGAAAAGCAAAGCCAGCCTAAGAGCTAGCACTCGGAACCTTGTTTGGTAGCCTGGCACAATATCTGGAAAAAAAGAACAGTGGCTCTGTATCTAGTCATTCATCCACTCATTTTGGCCTTGCTGTTCACAAAATAAAAATGCTTTCTTMTGTAAAGCCATTGCCAACAACTCTCCTGTCCAACAGTATATGAATTTCATTTCTAGCTGATTATGAAAGATATTGAAATAAAAGTAATTTGAAATGGTACTTGACTGTTGTAATGCAAGTTACCTAGCATGTAGGTAAACCCAGGGCCTCTCTACAAGTTATTATTTCAGATACCTCATAATCATCTAGAGCAAAAAGATATATTTCTTCTGTTGTTGATCAATATTCAGATTACAAACATTGTTCCCCAAACATCTTGCTTTCATGGGAGAAAGTACATTAGGGTTTGAAAATACAAGTAATTTTATACAAAGAAACATGTTGGAAAGGAGAATAACCTTAATGGTATAAGTTTCATSTGCAGCCATAATCCATGTGGACAAGGAGAAATAACTATTAGGCTCCTGCTTCAAGGCCACAGATATCAGTGAGACATCTTCCCTTGCCTTCAGTGGATCTTGGATCATATCCCAAAAGCTGACCTCTGACTTGACAAAGATTGTTACTAGCCTTTTGTTCAGTTTAATGGCRCTTAATGAACATGACTAAGGCATGTTTGAGCCATCCTAGGATGGCGTGAGCAGTAGCATGATTTAAAGAGGCAAAAGTTATCTGGCATTTTTTAAAGATTAGCTCACACCCCTCAAACTTTTTAATCCAGATGCAGCTAGCTGTTACAGTCGTGTTAGCCATCTGGTACTATAGTCTTTGGCTGAAAACAGAAGCAATATGTATCACCACTGCTTTTTGTTTCCAGGAAAAAGGAACGCCGTTTTTATGATCATCCATTCATTTGGTATCAAGCACATTTCACACATGAGTTGACTGGAGACCTGCAGTTGATATATTCTGTAGTAAGAAGAAGGGCTTTTTATGGCTAGTGGTAGAAACCGACATGCAGAGGGAAAGGTTGCAGTTTCAGAGTAACTGAATAAAATATCATYGGGTTTTTTAGCTTTCCCTTCAGAAAATGATTCTTTATTTAGTGACGCATTGTCTCAAATAACAAAAGGGTTTGCACTTTCTGGTTTTGCAGTTCAAAGCAAAWAACATCTTCAGCTACATTTGCTAAGCATAAAAACATTTGTAATTGCTTTCCACTAACCTTCCCAGCAAACAACAAGTAACTTGATTTTATATACTTACTCACTTGAAAATATTTTATTTTGTTCAAATAACAGATGTGTGCAAAAAAAATTATTATCAATAAAGGGCCRAAAGGAAAATGTGAAGGCAAAGGACATGGTGGCTGCTTAAAAATATTATTCTTGGTACACAGCGGTACCAAATTACATCACCCAAGGGAACCTCCTGACTTCTCATTGTASGGGATTGAACTAGATGACCTTTAAATGTCCTTTGCAATCAGACCCTTCTATGATGCTGTGATTCTCTCCAAGGAGACACAAAAAGTCTTTTTGAGAATATAAGGAATGCTGCTGCCACACCATGCAGTAAGGGACCTCAAGGTCTTCTGTATCTTCTCTGTCATGGAGATAGGAGTAGAGTTGGAGCRGCTCTATTACCTCAGGTTTCTCTGTGTCTCCTAGAAAAAAAGCTTGCCTTCAAAAGGATGGAAGAGGTTAACAAATCCTGGGTTCATAGTTGGTGACTTTGACCAATGCACAAAGTCAGGAAGTAATACAGCCCAACAAGCACACTGAGCTATTGCCCGCCTGGCAGCAGTTGCACCAGCTTTTTGAAGAATATAATCCAGCTTCCTCACTGATTGCCATTAAAAATGCCCCCACGCTTTCAAGCCCTTATTTCTGCTAGGYTGATATATGGGTTCCTTCTCTCCTCTCAGTTACATCCAAGCTGACCTGCGCTGCTCTCAATAGAGAGGCTCACTGCTATGACTTGGCTCCCAATAAGCTGGCTAGCAAGGAGATTTTCCCTCTGCTTGTGCSTTCTGTGTCTGCACAAGAAATTTCACATACCCAAGCATGTAACAAGATACCTGTCAGCATTTACTGCCTGGCAATTTTACTTTAGAGCTATTGATGACCAGGAGATACCTAGGGGGCCACGTGGCCTTTTCCTGAGCTGTCACTCAGCTAAAGATGATCCTGCATCCTACAGTGTTCACACACCCACCTTCACCTTATGCATGTCATCCAGCTATTGAATATTTTAGGTACCTGTCATCTCAGTATCTAAATCCCAAAAGAACAACTTAAGCAACTGAGAGGAAGCTGGAACTGGGGGCAGGTTTCAGTGGAAACTACTCATCTAATCCACGGAGATGTCGGAAACACTTCCACCGAGGTATAGATATCTAAGTACTTGAATAGCTTAAAGGATCCAGGCTTAAGTGCTGATGTGGCTGTTGAAAATGGTTCCTATGTCATTTATGCTTTATTGAAAAAAATTAAATGTTAAATGAGGTGTTTAAATTAAGTTAAATACAGAGAAGCTTCAGAAATGCTGCAAATATATATATGTGTATATATATATATATATATATATATATATATATTCTCTGCCCAACAACAAGTTATACCAACTAGTACAGCCACTCACATGTCTGCAAGAATAAACAGATCAAGAGGCCCAGATTTCTTGGCCCAGTAGTCCAGATTCCTAAAAACCCACTGGAAAAATATTTTAAGTGATAGGAGCTAACATTTCAACAATGGGAATTTACTCTTGGGATTAGAAGAGTCCGCCACATTGCAGGCAGATTAGCAGACAACTGGATTCACTCTGTTTGTTAAAATTTAGTAAGATGTTCTGTTTCTTAGTAGGTCTTGCTTTATAAATCTGGTCTTCAAAATGGTYTTGGGAAGTGTTCTGCATGGGCAGGCACTGCTAGGGCTGAAACAYAGGACGAGCTGCAGCATAGAGGAGGGTAAGTGCTGCTCTTTGCCATTTGCCTAGCCCACTGACAGTCCAGCTGACTGCCATGCAGACAGGCTCTCCAGCATCTCTGAACATCCCCAGGAATATGGCTTTCCATATGATCTGAAACGCCATGCGGCAGCCGTGCCTGCAATCCTGCAGTTGGCGCAGCAGGCAGGGCTGATCTTCAGGGCAGACTTTGGCAGGCAGGAGAGACATCCCCTGGAGGGAACCTCCATGTGTTTCATTGACAAGGGAGCTGGCAAACACAGCTTTTGCACAGTCTTTTATTGCCATTTACAGTTGGTGAGCATTGAGG